ATTCACATCTTGGAGCACCAGGTTGAAGTCTGGTCCCTCTTTCCCGCTTCATGATACTCCTCCTGCAATTCAGCAGTATAAAATTTCCCTCTTAGTAACTCTCCTGGGGCTGATTTCTGCGGAGTCCTCTGGTATATGTTATTCAGTCGCAATCTTCCTGGAAGTGAAATCGCTGCTAGTTCTTGTCCACACAGGCTCTCGGCCAGGAGCATGCACTGCAACAGGAGTGCGAGATGAGGGTCTGAGACTGCATACAGACAGACAGCAGCAGCGGCAACTGAGACTGTCACTCTTTAAGGGAGTAGAAAGCCCCGTCTTTCTCCCACAGAGTGTCTGGTGGTTTCAAAATGCTGACCTTGCCGTTAGCAGCCCAAAGTGTAACCACTGCACCGCCAAGTGAAGACAAACTTAGGGAAATTTAATTTGCATGTAAGGTTTCTGCTAATTAGAGTCCAAGAGCTGAAATTGTTTATTTGTCCGAAATATATGGTTGTGTGTGTATATAGTAAAACCTGCCAAAGCTCAACCTGTGTAAGGTGGGAACACATCAGAGAAGGGAGATGCAAATACTTTCTGTTAAAACAAGCAGTTCAAAAATGGTGAGACTGCAACTTGTCAGAGGTAAGAATGTCATGAGACCTGATCAAAAGGTCGTCCATCAGAAGTAACATGGCAAAACCTGAGGGCGGCAGGGGATGATGGTACTAGGCTTGCAAGGGCTCAAGCCTTCAGAAGCAGGTGCTGTTATAGACACAATTCTTCAGTGACAAGGATGCATGAATAGATGCATGGATAGACACACAGACTGAGCAGAGTGGGAGTACGCCCATGGATATGTAAGTGTGACAGGATATTTGCATATTTGTATTTGTCTTGGCTGCAGATATATCCGTGAGCGTGGTAGCGTCTGTAGGGGCAGTTATGAAAAGTTCTCCAACATTCCCAAACACCATGAGGGAATGAGGTGGAGGGCCTGAGGGCTCAGGACCACCCTTTCGGAAGGCGCCAGGGTCAACTGGCATAACTTGCTTCACCAAGACAAGGTTCAATAGGCTGCTCTGTCGAGTAGCAGCTGAGGTCCTAAGGGATCGTGCGCAGGCATCTGAGGTGCAGCTGCTGGTCCCCTCACCCTCCTGAGGAAAGAAGTGTGATGACAACCAAAAGACATGGCAGCAGTCAGTGCAGTGGACTAATAGTGACCAGCAAGCATTGGTCTCCACAATCCTGAGGAGGGAAGACCCAGATAGCGCCTGGTTCTCACTGCTGCCTGCTCTGAAAAGCATCACCTCAGAGGGCCCTAGATAGAGTGGGAAGAAAACGTGGAACACAACTCAGAGTCGTAAAAGAGGCCAGGCTTATTGGCCGGATAGAGACTGGTCAGACAGACTGGTGGAAACCCCAAGATGATACAGTCCTTAGTGACCCTTCAGATCAGAAACAAAGCTCATCTACCTCTGTGTTAGAATTATCAGCCACTGGAGAACAAAAGGGCAGCATTTACCCAGGGACAAAGTTGAGAGGCTTAGGAGAGGAGGAGGGATGGAAAGAGGACACACGGAGGAGGCGGGACAAGTGATGACAGGTTGAGAGGATTGCAAAGGATGAGTTGGAACGAAGTGTGTGTAAACTTGTTTAATGTAAAACTGATGAGCTGATCCGCAAACCCTCACCCAATTCACAGTAAAATGTTTGAAAAATAAGTCTGTTATAGATAGAGTTGCTATGGGTTGGAATCATTGATGACAGTGGGTTTCTGGTGTGTGAATGTATCAGAGCACAGAGAGTCAAAGGTAAGTACAGTGAACCCTCGTTTATCGCGGTTAATCGGTTCTAGACCCTACCATGATAAATGAAATTCCGCGAAGTAGGATTCCTTATTTGTAAGTCAAATATTTTCGTAGTTAGAGCATAGAGGACATGAAAAAACACCCTTTAGTCACCATTACACTCGTATTACCCAATTTATTAAACGAAAAAGGGAAAATACAGTAAAACATTTTGGACGTTACAATTATCATTTATTATTTATTATATTTATGGCATCTAGTTTACAGTATTCCATATTTCACATACAGTATTATTATACATAGTTCTTACAAATACTGTAATCAGTAGCCTATGAAATAACTTAAGGGATGTACTCTACAGGTGGGTCGCCGTCTTTTTCCTCTGAAGGAGCGGGTGTAGGCAGTGGGTGCTGTTACGCAAAAACCGCGATAGAGTGAAGCTGCGGAAGTTGAAGCGCGAAGTGGCGAGGGTTCACTGTAGTACTTGCTAAGAGTACTAAGTAGTCCCAGCATTTCTGTAGTAAGTACATCCAAGCCATTGAACTGCATGGGGGCGTCAAAAAAATTTTGTTGGAAATTTCCATTATCTTCTAATTCCACTTTTTCCACAAACTTTTTGAAGCCCGCATCCCTGCTCGCCATTTCTCGTCTCCCTTCTTATGCCTCCCTTCATTCCGCAGCAGGGTGCTTATGAAGCAAGCAGTCTGAACTCTGAAGTCCTTTAAACAGACAGAGTTGCTACAAGTGCAGCATTGACACTTAATGATGACTAATGTGTTCCAGGTGTAATGGCCACCAGGCATTCAAAAAGTTGAATCGAGTTGCCAAATCATGTGTGAACATGAACTGAAGACTACACATCGGTCTAAGAGAAGCTGAGCCCAGACAAGTCAGACCCTTACACAGGAAGGGAAGATGATCTCAAGAAAAAGGAAGAGATGACATGTGCTCAGTAGATTTTGGCTTATACTACACTGTGCCGGTGGTGATTCAGAGCTGGAAGACAGATGGGCACAGTTTGTACCCTCAAGGCATATTGAGACATGTATAGCTATAATTGCAACCGATGTAATAAATGCTCTGTTGGAGCCGTGCAGAGGGTGATCTATGAGTGGACGAGGGCCGCCTGATTAAGCCTGCAGTAGTCAAGAACGACTTCCAGCGGGTGACATGGAAGCTGCAGGTTAGGGGTACCAGGAGTTCCCAGGTGAATGAAGAGAAGTGCCTTCCGGAGAGAACAGCTGCAGTGGGGAGTTGCGCAAGTGGGCGGTGTTTGAGGAAGGAACTGATGACATTGGAGGGGGAAACGAGGACCAACGTCAAGGCCTCATTCACTCCCATCCTGAGGGCGACTGGGAGCTAGTAAGGAAGTGTGCTTTGATCTGGTTGTGTTTATAACTAAAACCACCATGGTAACGATGGTAAGAGCATATGACTATTAAGGAACAAAGAGGAGCAGAAGTAAGATTTAGTACGAACAGCAATAAAGCCCAAATTATGCACTGAAGAGACCTTCGAGTGATGTTTTAGAAGTTGTTGGGGGAGTACACATGGAAGTAGGTCAGGGACTAGAGAAATTAGGGATCTGGTATACTTTTGCTGAAGTAGATGAGATGGGGACAACAGTTTGAAGCAGGCTGAGGGTGGGCTGTTTGTGGGACCCCCCAGATGTAGTGTGTAGGTCTTGAGAGAATAGCTGGGGTTGAGTGCTATAATGACCAGTGAAAGCTACAGCTAGTCCAGTCCCAGGAGATCCTAGAGAGAGAGTTAAAGAGAGAGGGGAGAGGGCCAAAGACCACCCTGAAAGCAGCTGTCCTTTCACACTGATGAACCAGAGTCCGAAGGAGAATGAGGAATTGAGAGCGAGAGGGGTTGGGCCCCCTTGAAACCAAGGCAAACCAAACCCAGTTCGCTGCCAGCGCCAGGGCGCCCCTGCAGGCTGGAGCAGAACTGTGCCAGAGGCTTCCTACGGTTCCTTTACAAGAGCAGAAAGCTCCTCTTTTCCCACAGAGCAGCCATGGTTGAACCGCCGACCCTGCCGCCAGCAGCCCAACACATAACCATTGTGCCACCAGAGCTCCTTGAGCCAAAGTTAGAGAGCTTAAAAAAAAATAGGTATTTTTAAATTGCCTGAGTATACTAGTCTACTTCTCATTTCTAAAAGTCATGTTATAAAGAAAAATCAAATTACATTCTCAACTTTTCATATGTGGAATCATTTCCTTCAATATTCTGTTGTCCCAGTATAAGAAAATACAGGTGCCCCAAATGCCCAAGTTTACTAGACCCTGAGAAATTAACCAAAGAAATGAGCCGAGTTTTCAGATCTAGAGGAGTAAATAATGCTTCCAGTATTGTCTGTTTTGAGGATTCATGATTTATGTATTAAATTGTGAAGATGGCGAAATAATTCTTTTTTGGCCTCAAAGTGCTCCAAATAGCTAATTAGACCAAATGATTGTATTTAAGCGAGTGGCGCTGGGCTGTTAGCACACAGCTGGCCCTGGGGTTGTAGAACTGACCGTGCCCGAGGAGAGTGTGTGTGCAACCCTGCAGCTGGGAAGCAGACTGGAGCACCAGCTGAAACGGGCAGATATGTGACGTGACAGTGCGTCCACTTCCCTCTCAGCGCTCTGAAGCCTTGTTCCTTAGTGTGCCCAGAGATCCAACGGTGCCCACAGCCACCTGGGAATGGATCGGAAACGCAGACTCTCACCCAGCCCAAATCCCTTCACTCAGTGTCGTTTCTCTTCAAGATCTCCAAGTGATTTCTCTTCCTATTAAAGTTTGAGATGCTTTCTAAAGACTAAGTGGACATAGGGTTCGTGGTGTTCTGTGGTGAGTGCACCTCCGTACTTGACCATGCCATCATCTTTAAGAGCCGGACTTTAGAGTGATCTTCAAGACTAGTGCCACTAGTTAGTGTTATACGAGGGGGCTTCTCGTTCATGAGAAAAGGCCCGTTATGCTTTTGTTCTGTTTTCTCTGTGAACTTTTTGAAGCCCCCTTATTTTCTCTCCCCACAAGGAGTAGCTGGAGGTTACAAGTGCAGGTTGTGCAGTCAGATTGCCTGGGTTCCAATGTAAATGAACTAACCTTCTAAGGTGCCAAAAAAAACCCAACAACAAACAAAACACCTGGGCCAGGTGAACCTCAGCCTCCACCTCTCTGAGACCAGAAGAACTAGATGGTGCCTGGTTCCCCCTGCTGACGGCTCTGGAAGGGATCACAATAGAGCAGTAATTCTCAACTTGTGGGTCGCGAGCCCATTGGGGGTCGAACAACCCTTTCACAGGGGTTGCCCGATTCATAACAGTAGCAAAATTACCGTGATGAAGTAGCAACGAAAATAACTTTATGGTTGGGGGTCACCACCACATGAAAGGGTCACGGCATGAGGAAGGGTGAGATCCACTGCGATAGAGGATCGTGGATAGAGCAGGGGAAAAATATGGACAGGAACTCAAAATCATCAAAAGGACCAGGATGACTGGTCTGGCAGAGACTAGTGGAACCCCCGGGAATGATGGCCCATAGTCACTCTTCAGACCTAGACTTGAACTCACCCCATGCTCAGCGTTCAGCCAGATAATACCGGTGTTAGGTGCCGTCACGGAGTGCCCAACTAGTAGAGGCCCGTGTACAAGAGAGTGAAACTCTGACGGGCCCTGCGCCTCCCTCACAACTGTCATGTTGGGGCCACTGTGTGAACCCTTCTCACTGAGGGGCTTCCTCTCTTTACGGACTTCTACTTTATGACGCTTTATGCCCTTTCCCAGGGATTGGCTCCTCCGGATAGAATGCCCAAAGTACATGGCACAGAGCCTCACCATCCTGGCTGTGCTTGGGAGAAGCATAGCATTCTGGCTTTACTCCTCCCAAGACAGACCGGTAGTGTGAACAGTAACATGAGTGAAAGCGTCCACCGGAGATCAAAAGCATAGCACTGCCCCAAGGATAAAGCTTAGACGCCCAGAAAGGTGAGGAAAGGACGGTGAATGGGCACGGTCAACACAGGAAGAGAGGGGGCTGTTTGAGCGTGAGAATCGCAGTCAATGTCGCGAAGCAAAATGTGGGGGTTGTTGAATTCCAAACCAGTTTGCTCTGTAACCTTTCACTCAAATCCCAATCAAAAGCTTTTTCAAAAGACAATGAACCATAGGAGACTCTTCAGCTTTTCGGGGTGGGGTGGGGGGAGTCTCATTAAATGATCCCCTACCAAGCAATAGTAGGAACATTGTCCTGGGCAAGGCTGAAGGACTTGTGGTCTCTTTTGCTCCCTAGGGCGCAGCGGGCATTCTGTGCTACGTGGGCGCCTACGTCTTCATCACGTACGATGATTATGACCACTTCTTTGAAGACGTGTACACGCTCATCCCTGCTGTGGTGATCATAGCTGTGGGCGCCCTGCTTTTCATCATTGGGCTCATTGGCTGCTGCGCCACCATCCGCGAAAGCCACTGCGGACTTGCCACGGTAAGTTAGCCTCCCCCCAACCCACCCCCACCCCGAGCGAGCGCCTGGGTTGCCCTAAGACACCACAGCGCCTGATTGTAGTCACTCGCTCCTATCGCACGCCTCTTGAGAAGCGCGTGCAACGCCATCACTCATCAGCTGTTACAGCGATCGGCGGAGTGCGCCCTTGTCTTCAAGGTGACATGGTCGTGGCTGGTCTGTGTTGTTTCTTCTCTCCTCTGCCCAAGAGAACGTGGTGAGCGCGTCTGCCTCTGTGCTTCCTTCCAGTTTGTCGCCATCCTGCTCTTGGTCTTCGTCACGGAGGTGGTCGTGGTGGTGCTGGGGTACGTGTACAGAGCCAAGGTAGGTTGTCTGATGCTCCCCGCGCAGCGGTCTAAGTTCGTCAAGCAAAGTAGAATAAGTCCACTTTCCCAGAGTAACTGGTGCACACGCACGCACACACACTCGCCTTATTGCAGCTCAGCTACTGCTTTAATATCCAAAGGAGCATTGTGGCTCAGTGGTTAGGTGCTTATCCCTGTTCGTCAGGGTTGACTAGACAAACAAATCCCGGGAGGCTCATGTGTGTCAGAGTGAACTTATGTCAAAGAACAATTGAACAGTAAGAAAATATCCCATCCCAGTCCAGATTAAGTCCATAAGTATGATACCATCCCATATATCAATACTAGTCCATAAATTCTTCAGACTCACGCAGCCATCCAATGATGCTGAATGCTGGCCAGTGGGTGAAAAGTCTTGTGGATCCAGTGGTGGTGGAAGCATCTTAGCGCTGGCGTGCGTCTCAAGCTGGCTCCTCAGCTCCAGGGCTGTGGCGCCATCAATGTAGCTCCATGTGGCTTGTCAACAGGAATGTCTCCCTAGATTTGTTTCTCTAGTCTACCCAGACTAACAGAGTCTGCTCACTGAAAGGTCAATGGTTCGAACCCACCAGCTGCTCCATAGGCAAATGACGTGGCAGTTTGCTTCCATACGGATTTACAGCCTTAGGAACCCTATGGAGCCGAGTTCTATAAGGTCACCGAGTCTGAATTGACTCAGTGGCATTGGGTTATGCGGGAGCACCAATTAAAATGGTGTGCTTATTAAGACTTGTAGTCTCATTTAGTATAGCAGTGTTCATTCTACTACGCCCGTCTGTTGACTATGGTTTTTAATTTTCATTATCACAACGAACTATAAATGAATAGTTAGTCATTTGCAAAGTTTATTCAGATTTCCTTAGCCCATAGTTTTACTGTCTGCAAGGTGGGAAATATAAATTTTCTCATTTCTGTTTTAGAAGAATTAAATCAAGGGTTTCATTTTCATTTGCCTCTTTGAGAGAGGGAGAGCAATGAGTTTAATTTGGGTTCTTACCTTCACCTCTTTCCTAAGAACAAGGCATCAGCCACACCCTTCTGATCATACACACACACACACACACACACACACACACACCACCCAGCCCCACCTTCCCCTCCTTTCTCTTTGCTTGCTTTTACTTCTTTCCCTTCCTGGTCCATTTAAAGCTGAACGGTCTGCTTTAAATTCACTAACTTGCATAAATATCTCATTAATTATTATCAATTAGTTAATAATCATCTAGAACCATGATAAAAGCTCAATAGACGCATTCTCATTTAATGTAAGTCAAAGGCATGACATAGCAACTTAATATGAAAGGTGCCAGGCAGCTCTGCCAAAAAGTGCAGTGACCTGGGTATCCATTTTATAGCAGCATCACATCACTGGGACAATTACTAAGTAAGTCTCCTGGCCTTTACAGGGTCAGGGAGAAGCCAGCCCGAGCAGTTCAATGAGACTTGCTGGTTGTTTTTACTACTTGGCAGCAAGGCGTTCTGAAGAGTCTATTTCTGCTTCCTCGTGAAGTACTTTGGACCGCAGCTTTTTATAGAGGGCCACTCCCGAGGACGGATGGCGGCCGCTGTTGTTGCAGGGCTTCATATTTGGCCAACTCTAACCTTGCATTTGCGAACTAGTAGTTACGCTGATGTTCAAGCTTGTTTTCGTTTTACCTCCAGCAGAACCTTGAAAAAGAGCGAGCCTTCTGAGAACACACCGAACACCTGAGGGAGACGGTCCATTTATAATTTAGGATGCTGACCACCAAAGTCAGCTTCTTTCTCCTCTAAAAGATACTGTTAGCCTAGCATCCTGCACACAACTTCCTCTTTGAGTGCTTCTCACTCAGGTCGGACATTATGTCTGATTTCTTACCTGTCAGTCGGCATCTACAGGGAGGCAGGAAAGAAGAAACCATTTGTCTTGCAAGAAGTTCACAGAGAACAGGCACCTCGAAAAGAGGCCCTTTTGAGCACTTTTGCTGGAGCTTTGACTAACGTTTCTTTGTACCAATATCTCTGAAGAACTAAAGGCCCCTTTGTGACTCAGGTGGAGAATGAAGTCGACCGCAGCATTCAGAAAGTGTACAAGACCTACAACGGAACCAATCCTGACGCTGCTAGCCGGGCTATCGATTACGTACAGAGACAGGTGAGCTCTCCCGAGCTGAATTTGCTGCTGAGGGCTAATCACTGTCCGGTCAACATTAACTTCAACCTATTATGGTGTAAATTAGCCATGTACCTTCACAGCTGAGGTTAACCTCTTGGTGTGTCTTCATGGTTTTCTCTGACCTTCACCCTAGAAAGCTTCCCATGCCCCACCCCCCACCTGTCCCCGTCCCCCCCCAACCCAGTCACCACCCAGTCCCATATTTCCCAAGATGGACAAGATCTCTCCCTGGGTCTGACAAATGCAATACTGGTCCAGGAGGTGCTGCAAAAGCCGACACCTACATGGAGTCCATATTGAATTGCACGTGGGCACGGACTTCCCATCACCGCAGACACAGGACCCTGGGCCACACCGTGCTAGCACCAAGGAGCCCTGCGTGGCACAGCAGGTTACATGTTGGGCTGCTAACAACAGGTCTGCAGCCGATTCACGGCCGAGGTTTTCAGCTCCCATCAGAACTTGCAGCCCACAGGGGTAGTTCTGCTCCAGCCTGTGGGCTCCTATGAGTCCGAATGCACTTGATGGCAGTGGTGTGGACCTGCAGTAGCCCCACCCAGACTTGGCCGCTACTTTGTTGTTGTTGAGAATCCGGAGAGTTGCTTTTTCAAGCCCTCAGTGCCCAGAACCCTCAAGTTCATCCCTGGTATATGTTTTGAGAGGTCATCTTCTCATCTCTGCCTCCTTCAGCTGCGCTGTTGCGGAATTCACAACTACTCAGACTGGGAAAACACAGACTGGTTCAAAGAAACCAAAAACCAGAGCGTCCCTCTCAGCTGCTGCAGGGAGACGGCCCCCAGCTGTAACGGCAGCCTGGCCCACCCCTCCGACCTCTACGCCGAGGTGAGTTGGGTCTAGCCCCGGCATCCATCCTGCCGTTCTCCAGGTCTCATCTCCTCCGCCCGGAGCTGCTTTCCCACCTCACCTGCCCCAGTGTCGTGTGGTGTCATGAGCTCTCTCTCCGTGCCCTGTCGTCTGCCTGAATGCCATGTCTCACTGGGGCTCCACTGGGGTCATCGTGCTTCTCTCTCGGTAGCAGCAGTGAGGAGTGATTTGCACTTTTCCAAACAACTTCTAAAGCAGATGGCTCTGTGTGTTTCAGGGGTGTGAGGCACTGGTTGTGAAGAAGCTACAAGAAATCATGATGCACGTCATCTGGGCCGCGCTGGCCTTCGCAGCTATTCAGGTAGGTGCGGCTGGCCACGGAGTGACCTCGGGCAGCTGGTTCTCGCTCTCAGCCTCAGATGCAGATCAATAACTTAGAAGTGCTGGAGGGCCTACCCACCAGTTTCCAGCATTTTCCACTTTAAATAATTGACTAACCTGAGTTGTCAGACTCCTCCAACAGAGCCAGTACAAGATACTGCCTGGACTTCAGGAACTAGGAATGTGGATGGCTGTGTTGGATGGGAAATGATCTTTCCTAAGGGAGGGTGAATGGGGGATAAAGCTGTGTTTGGAAGTAAGGTGGGATGGGAGCTGATGAGGTGAGAAGTGACTAATTGCAGAGTGATCCAAAGAAACCAGGCATCTGGGATGGGGAGGAGGGGCTGGCCTCTGCCTTATTTCCTTGCCTTGATTACAGAGGACCCTCTTCAAAGTGCACGCACTCTTGTCATCATGGGTTCTGGGGAGGGATGCCAATAGAACTGAACAGCTTTCTAAATAAGAGGACGGCCTCATTTCAGTTGGTAAATGGAAAGCTGTATGTCAGTCTTCCAGTTCTTCTGGTCCTTTCCTCAAGGGTTTTACATATCCGGAGACATAAATCAAGTACTAGAACTACAACAGTATATTAGTTTCTGAGACTACAGGGGGCGATTGTATTGCCGGATAGTAAAGGCCTTCCAATATAACTGCGTTTCTGCCCTCTCCGGTGCTAAGACTCCCTCACCTCATGTGGCACCTCTGGAAGCGTGCTGAGCCGTTTTTCTAACTATGAGGAAGTGGTGTAGTGTAGTGTTGTTACATGTTGGGCTGTTAACCTCAGGTCAGCAGTTCAAATCCACCAGCTCCGCTTCAGGAGAAACACAAGGCTCATAAAGATCTACAGCCACAGCCACCCACAGGGGCAGTTCCACTCCACCCTATGGGGAGCTGTGAGTCCGAATTGACCCTGTGGCGATGAGGCTGGTTTTTGAGTTTGACCAGTGAAGACCGTCAACCCTAATCACTTCTTACTAAATCCGCTCACGTCCTCCTTACCTCCCAAACATAAGTTTTATCCCTCTCCACCTGAAGACAAGAAAAATAACCATTTCCATCCAGTATGTTTTAACCACAGGGAGCCCTGGGGGGCAGTGGGTTCTGTTCGTTCTGCTCTTCCCTGTAGAGTTGCTCTGAGCGGGGACTCGAGGGCAGTGAGTTTAATTTGTTTGGACAATGACCCATGTGCCTGGTGGTTCCTCGAAACTGACGGTCTGTGGGATGGATTCTTTTAGCGGAGTCTTAACTACCCACAGTAGCACCTGCGTGAAAGTGTTTGTAAGCCCTCCTGGTGAGATTGAATCCTCAGAGCGGTTCTATCAGTTGTTCTTGAAATGGGCTTCAGGCCTAGAGGACCGATTTTAAGAAAACACCTTTTTAAAAATTATTAGAGCAAGTGAATCTGAGTACTTGTTTAAATGTATTGCCTGACCTTAGTGTACAGGATGTATTTCAACAGAAGGTAGTGTATTTCAAGGGAAGTGTCTTTTTAAATGGCCAAAGAGTGACGGTATACTTTGCTGTTGTTCAAACGGTGCTGACATGGTTCATTAAAGAGCTTCCCTGTGTGTTTGCTAAGCATTTATCTTGTGGCTCAGCCTGGCAAGGATTTGGCCATCAGTGGGGATGTATTTTTATATTTTGATAGTCTATGCAAACAGATTAATTTAGCTAAAAGTAATGAGACGCGAGGGTGGTCCCTTTTCCCAAGGGAACTCCTGCCTGTGTTCTTAGTGGCTGTCCATGTGAGGCTAGAGCTGCAGCCATGAGCACGCCGCAGAAGAGCCGCACAGAGTCTGTGCTCACGCCATACGCAGCGTGTGTGCAGGAGACTGGTGACAGCGATCACAATGGCCATGCCCCTCATCCAGTTAAGCTTGTTAACAGCCAGATGTTTCCTTATTAAATATTTTTCAGTGGGGGTTAATAAATATTTGATAATGCCTCTTAATTTAAGTATGCCTGCCAGATGGGTGTTACAGTTAAATGGCCCTGGCTTCGGTGATAGCCGAGAAGGATTGGCTATTTCTACTTCAGCAAGGCCGAGTCAGGGAGCGCGGAGCGCGGCAGAACTTTTCACGGATCCCAAACCTGGCGGTTATGAAAATTAAGTGTTGGTTTTAAGACGGGGCGGGGGGAGCAGAATATCCACATTTGAAATAAAGAGCGTTTTTCTATTTTTTAAGAGCATCTCTCAGTGTTCTAAACTGCTGGTGTAGGGAGATGTAAGGCAGTGCCCTCGGTGGAAAAAAGGCAGAAATATCTCAAAGCCCAGTGGGCGTTTGCCCTGTTCAACCAGGCTGATGGGGAAAGCTGGAGCTGCAGGCCCCCTGCAGCTTCTCCAGGCCCTGCCCCCTGTGTTCTGTGGCTACAGCAGTGAGGGGAGCAAGCAGAATAGGGCCTCGGGCCGGCAAACATATGATGCAAACCCAGGACTCGAACCCGGATTCCTTTGGTGTTCGATTTACCCCTGTACTCAGAGATCTAAAATAAGGCTCTCCGACACCTTCATTCTGGTAGGAAACCCGGCAGTTTAGTTAGTGGGCGCTTCAGTAGGATAAAACCTACCGTGTCATGCATCACAGCCTCCTGAACACTTTCCTTCAGGCCCGAGAGCCGGGAAACTTGAAGGGTTACATATAATCAGAGACCGTTTTAGATGCTGCCAAAGATCGAGAGGCCGCTTCTGTTAGCACTGTGAGCTTCAGAACGGTGCCAACCCAGGCTCACCCTTACTTTCAAGCAGCTTGTGGTGCTGTGAAGCCATAATGGTGAATGTAAGAAGGAATCCTCTCATCGGCTTAAATTCGCAATACGAGGCTCTAGTTTGGGTGGAGCTGGAGGGCCAGATCGGACCTCCCACCTGTTTTGTGTTAGCCAAACTCATCGGTTTGTGAGGTGCTTCAGGATGTTTTGGGGGAAATTCCATTTTCTCTGGATTCCATTTTTCCTCAAAGTTTTTGAAGCTCACATGTATTGTCTGGGGCAGCTAGTGCTTGTGTTACAGGCAGGGCTTAGTAGCTGCAACAGAGACTAAATGTGTCTCTTGCCTCCTCAAGCCTCGAGTATTTTCTCTGTGGCCCTTTAAGAAAACGCTTGCTGTAATCTAGCTAAATGCTTTAGGGTTTCGGTAGGTGGGAAATGATCCAGAAAGAAAAGGCTGGACAATGCTAGTGGATTGTTCTTGTGGGATTCAGGGATGGAGACAGTGGAGTCTTTGTTTTAATCCCACCCTCATCTGGGGAGCACATGAAGACAGCGCACTGCCTCTGTGAGCAGGGTAGCCGGGTCTCAGCTTTGCAAATGAGGACTTAGCATTTTTGTATATAAAGGGTCTGGTCATAAAAAAAAAAACAAGTAAAAATCCAGGCATTTATCTGGCAAGTTCTTAAACTTGCAGGGTGGGACTAGGGTCTCTTCGGGCAGAAGCAACTTGGAAAGACAGGAATTGACCATCTTTAGATCTAGTCACCTGAAGCTGGCCCGTCCTCGTGATGGAATGGTCCTCGAGCCAGCTTTCACAGAGAACTGCTTCCCAAGACAAGGTGCTCTTCTCCTGGCCTACACACCCAGGGGAAAGAAGCCGAAACTGCCGCCTGACTGCTCCGCCCCAGGGGGTCGCTGTGAGTTAGTATTGGCTCAGTGGCAGGGAGCCGCCTCCTCCAATTTGTCAAATGGGTTAACATGCAGAAGCGAACATCACTTCAGATCGGGCTCTCAGATAGGAACGAAGACCCAGCGGCTTGACTCTTAACACTTACAATTTAAAAAGCCTGAGTAACTCTTCCTTAAAAACATCAACCAGAAAATGGGAAACAAATTCAGGTTTTATTAGTGTATTTTTATTTGTAGGAAAACTGAAGCTGTTTACTCCTGTAAAATGTACACTCTCAGAAACCGCACAGGGGATCACTGAGTTGGAATTGACTTGAGGGGGGTGGGTGTTACTTGGAATCTCCTTTAATGAATACAGTTAGTCTTGCAAGTGGGTGACTGCCCTCTGAATGTATAATGAATACAGTTAGTCTTGGAAGGCGGTGACTGCCCTCTGAATGTGGGTGCCAAGCCCACTCCCAGCAAACAGGTCGGGCTGTGAGATGGAGGAGGAGTCAGAGTCTTATGAATGAATTTCCATAGAGATTTCCAAATATTTCTCACATCCAATTGCCTTGCATACGGATACGTACTCCAAGCCCACACCATCACTTTCACAGTTCATTATACATTTTCACCGTGGACACTTTAATCCTTGGTAGCCAGTTTGGGTTTTTTTTTAAATTTCCAGTTGTCTCTGTATTTGGTTGTCATTTTTGTATTGGCCCAAGCCCTGTTCCTGGGCTCTGCGTAGATTGGTCATGGTGCCTTGAAGATTATAGGAGAAACTTCTATTGCAAGAGATACTATTGAACCTAATTGTTTGTGTAATATTTCCAAGTCTATTACTAGAAAATGTCAACCACCAGGGAAATTCACTGTTGCAAAGTGCTGGAAATGGGCTTGTCACACTTAGAGTGAAGTCTGAACCTATCAGCTGTTGTGTGGAACTTAATGTTCTTAAGCAGACTCATTTCCAGGCGCGAGTAGGGTTTTATCCAGCTTATTTGTTTTTAGATCAACATAAGTTGACTTAATTGAAATTTAAAAAATCAGGGAAAGCCTGATTCAGACCCCATTTAGAGAATGCTGAGAAAGGAATGTGAGGACGTGGGGATGGAGCGATTTTTCCCCTAGCAAATCAGTAATGTGTCAATTTAACGTTGCCCGTGTTTCTTGCTCAATTTAACGTTGCCCGAGAACATAATTGAGCTTGGTTTTCTAGCTGTTTTAAGAATGTCTTGGTGTACAACAAACAGAAATGTATTTCTCTAGGAATTAGATACCAAACATGTCTGACTTGACAAGCCATCACGTAAACTGTCAACAGCGCCCACTTTTGTAAAGGCCTCCAAAGTATGTCTCAATGCCAACAGCACGAAATGAAGCGTGTGCCCCAGAGTTGGGCAGCGCATGGGCTCAGTGAGGACGGGATCGGAACTCGGCCGTTTGTGCCCGTGGGAGCCCCGCCGGGGCCTGCTTGGTCTCTGTCCGTGTCACTCCCCAGTGTCACCTCCCATCGACTCTGCGAGTCCGCTTCTGGATCCGGCGCCCTCGGCAGAGATTAGATTGACCCAGTAGACAAAGGGGCGCTCTGGCTTTGCAATTGAAATCACAGGCCTCTCGCCTTGGATGAAAAGTTAGAACAACAAATGAGCTTACTCGCGTCGAGCCCGTTGGTTACTGTTTATATTTTGTGAGACACCAAATCAGATCTGCTCAACCTCTGTTCCCCTTAACACAATGTAATCCTCTTGCTTATCAAAAATAGCACAGCCTGGCCTTATCTGCCACCATAAGAAGAGCAGCCCTCGTTAGAGTAAACTGGAGCAGGGAGAAAGGCCTTCACCAGGTACCACACAAGGGGCACCCCGGAAGCCGACCCAGAGCTCAAACAGTGCAGTAACGGAAGGGATGGAAGCCGCCACGCTCATCTCTCTGGTCAGGGTTGGTTTCCACCCCAGGGCCGCTGGCCCCTCACGTACTGACCCCCGAAAGCCAGGCCCACCTTGGTGAGGGCCGTGAGCGTTCCTCAGTACTCACTAGACCTTCTGTGTCCAGGTATGGGAGCTGTGCAGCACGTTGGTCTAAATTTGAACTAAACGCAGATCAAGAGGTGCCCTCTCAGCGTCCCAGCCGCGTTTCAGCTGCACTCGCTGCTATTGAGCCTGTCCCGGCTCCTGCCAGCATTGCAGGGGTGAGGCTGGGGCGCTGATGCTTGGTGTTGATGCCATTCCTAGCAATAAGACCGCCACCACTGAAGTCGTCCCCAGGGGTCCCGTCTGTGGGGGTGTTGCTGCTGGTTTGATGACTTGAGGTCAGTGAACGTGGCGGCCTGTAGAGGGTTCTCAGCCTGCCTCCCGCTGTTTCCTCCCGCAGCTGCTGGGCATGCTGTGCGCCTGCATCGTGCTGTGCAGAAGGAGTAGAGACCCCGCGTACGAGCTCCTCATCACCGGTGGGACCTATGCTTAGCAGCCCCCTCGGCCCTTCCGACGGGAAGGCGAATGGCACCGGGCCGCCGCCGCCACTGCTGCTGCCTCCCGAGCTGTCTGACTGAGAGCACGCGAGCACTGGTGTTGGACAGAGCAGCTGGGCTATCCAGTGACCTCCCGTCCTGCCCTGCCCTCTCCTCCCCCTCCCGGTCCTGGGTTCTGGCCCCTTCACCTGTCCCTGCATTTTTGAGTCTGGTGGTAAATGTCCTCGTTTCTGAATCATCTGCGAGTTGTGTGGTGTGGTAGAGTTAAAGGCAGACACGACCTGCTTTTGTTACCTCTGAGCATTAGTGGGACTGATTCTGAAGTCCCACTGCCCCCCCTCAGTCTTCACAATGTAGAATTCTTGGCCAAAGGTTTGGGAGGGAGTGGGGAAAGAGCCACTTGTGTGGTTGAAGTGACCACCTGGTGGTGCCCCTCATCAGTGGGTTTCCTTTTAAAAACCATGTGCTGTAGTCCAGTCCACTGAGATAGCAATTGTACGGAATGGCTAAGATCGACTTTAAAATCATATGGTATATATCTTGACTCATCTTCAAAATCAGAGACTGATCTTTAAAACTAGTGGTTTTTAATCAAAGCTGACTTTATAGGAGGAGTATAATGTATGCACTACTGTTTTAAAACTGTGTGTGAGTGTGTGTGAGAGAGAGAGAATATGTGTGTATGTTTAGATTGAGCCCATTCATCATAAGTCTTACAGCCGTTTGGAAATAATGTACCCATGTAGACTTGCAAATTAGTATGTAGATGTGTTCTCAGTTGTAAATAGAAAAATCTAATTCAATAAACTCTATCACCCCTCGACATGCAGTTTTTAATTATTTGGGGGATTCTTGAATTCCAGAGCAGTAGTAGACTGTTTGAAAATGTTGGTGCTTACGCCTAGTTCCTCATGATTTGCTTGTGTTTTAATGATATCTGTTGCCAAGTTCTAACGGCCCTGCTGTTCAAGAAACCATGGGTGCTTTTCAGCCCGTGTCCCCACAGTTAGGAGCACCCGCTGCGGTAGCTGGCTCCAGGCCACCGCGGTGTGCTCTGCTGCTGTTTGTTTCAAAGGGGCCTGCAGGCAGTCAGTGTGAGTATTGAGACACGGAGAGAAACGGGTCATTTCCATACAGTGCAGGGATTTATAGTGATGGAAGCAGGGGCCCTTGGGAGCTGCATGTGACTCTTTCCCCAGCTTCCTGGAGGAGATGCCTGAGCCTGGAGGCTGCAGAGACTTGTAGGGGTGGGAAGTGGGATGCAGGGTGCCGGGAGCTACAAAGAGCTCATTGTGCCTGGAACTGAAAATACAGGGCGGGAAGAAGACATCAAAATGGCAAAGCTGTGTCCCCTGGTGCCCTCCTCTACCAGTCACCCGAAGAGGGCAGACCGGACCAGTAGGAAGGCCCAGTGCCATCAGAGGGTTGGCCTGTGGTGGGTCTGTGACTGCCCCGCAGGGACACGACTGCACCCTGGTTAAGGTGTATGCAGGAGGGTTCAGGGCATGGATAGGGCTCTACTGGTGGGGGCGGGGAGGGAGGCAGACTTGGACTGTTTGAACTAATGAGAGCATCACAGCTGATTGGGTGGTGGACAGGGAGGGGTCTAGGATGAACCCCAGGTTTCTAGCTGCTCAACAGGGGAGATGGGGTTCATGGAGACCAACTGCTGACATGAGTGAGGCGAACATCAGGACCGGCTCCCTGGGCCCGCTGAACTGCAGAGGTCTGAGCATCTTGTAAGTCCTGAACATGGCGGAGACGTGGGAAAGGCGAGGAGGAAAGGGGACTCCCGGTCCAAAAGCTGGTGGTACTGATGGCATCCGTCAGAGAGCCTGTTGCCGCTCAACCCGCCCACCTCGTGCCTGCCACCCAGTGGGCAAGTGTGTGCTGCCACTGAGCAGTCGGAGGGGGCCTGGCCAGGCGGAGGCAGGAGGGTGACCGCATCACCATTGACATGTGACTTGCTCACCGGAGGCCAGAGAACCTCTGCAGCCATACTGAGTGCTGCTGGGGAGGGACAACCGAAGAAAAGTCACCCTGCAGCCCCACCCAGAGCCTGCGTTCTCCGGCCAGTGAGCAAGAACTGGAGCAGGGGTTCTCAGCCTTCCTCATGCCGTGACCTTTTCAGACAGCTCCTCATGTGGGGGTGACCCCCAACCATACCATTATTTCCATTGCCACTTCGTCACTGTAATTTGGCTACTGTTATGAATGGTCATGTAGATACCTGATAAGCAGGGTGTATTTTCATTGTTATAAACTGAACATAATGAAAGCATAGTGATTAATCACAAAAACAGTATGTCATTATATATTGTGAAATACTTATTTTTAATGACAAGTAAATGAAATTTTGTCTTGAAGCATGGTGTAGCATGGGTAACAGTCTTCATGCCCAGTACTCATATGTGGGCGGACCCACCTGAAGACAAGAGGAGCGGTGTCTCGGTTCCTAAGGCCATGGGAAATATGTGTTTTCCGATGGTCTTAGGCGACCCCCGTGAGAGGGTCATTTGAGGGATCGAGACCCACAGGTTGAGAACCGCTGCTCTAACCCAACCACTGAACTAGAGTCTGCGAAGTCCCAGCCTCACTGGGACTAGGCAGGCCGGCCGGCCGGCCAAGGAAGGGAGTGTTTGGAGCTCGGAGGCAATAAACTAAGAGCCAGCACACCTGGTCAGAGCAAGTCCCACTTTCTCCATGGCGAAGTTACTGCTTCCCCTGCAATCTCTGGAGGGACATCCAGCCAGCCAGCCATTCCTACATGTGTACAGCCAGCCAGCCTCCTCTATCCCTACCGCCTACCAGCCAGTTCTGACGACACTGGCTGGGTTCCATTTCTAAGGTCATTGTAACAGTGGTTTACAATCGAGCGCTTCTTTCTCTTTTCCTCTCTAGCCCCACTCTCACCCGTCTTCCCCACTGACCATGCACTAGTTATCGCTGTGAGTCCAATGTGGCCTGACGGAGCCTCGTGTTAGCCCATGCTGCTGTGTTGCCCATTTCTCAAAGGGTGCCAGGCCTGACCACCAGGAGTCCCTTCAAGTTACCTCCTGTGTGCTCGAAATGGGTGCCCACCTGTGAGGGAGGGCTCAGATAGGACCGGGTGGCCCAGGCTCACCTGCCCCAGCCCCTCAAGGACACTTCCCATCCAGCACCGAGTGTCCATGTGCCCTGCTGCCAGGGCGGCTTTGTGTCTCACCAGCCACAGCTGACAAGAGTTTATACCAGTGCCTTTCTGAAGTTCATTTTGATCTTAGTGTGTTATCTTTACATTGAAAAAAATGTTCGAAACCTTAGTGATCTAAGAAATGTGAGCCATGCAGCAGTCTTCGAAGAAAGCACCCCACGAGCAGGCAGGTGTAATGGCAGTGTGTGCCGGCGGTAGTTGTCGGTGTTGCTTTTTCTGCTGTGGCGAGTTGTCGTTGGCAAGGCCTCTTTCACTCTTTACAACATAGGATGGCACGCCCCCTGCGTTAGCCTGTAGCGTCGCATTGGTTCCTCTCATCAGCTACAAGGATGTTCTGGTATTAGGATCAGCCCATCTCCAGGGGTGACAGTGTATGGTCCTGTGGGCTGTCACCAGCCTTGCCACACCGAACAGAGTGGAGCTCTGCCCACTGCCCGTGTGTCTGCATGAACTCCGGGAGTCATTGAAAACTTCTCCCAGTCACATGCAGTTGCCCTCTGGCCAGGTGATACCAGCTTAGACGCTCACAAGCAGAATATGAAAATGAGCATTTCCCCAACCCCTCCCTGGCCCTTTGAACGGCCCCAGCCGTGAACTCTTCCAGTCAGACAGGAGAACGAGGACTCTGCTTGATTGCTGGTCAGGCCTCAATGTCTCCCACAGGGCTGCAGCCACTGGGAGCTCCACTGACTGCCAAGAGGAACCCTGGTGGTGTAATGGTTACCCATTGGGCTGCTCACTGCAAGGCCAGCAGCTCAAAGCCACCGGCTGCTCTGTAGGGGAAAGATGAGGCTTTCTACTCCCAGAAAAGTCACAGCAGTTCCCCCCTGTCCTGCAGGCTTGCTGTGAGTGGGAATTGACTCAATAGCGGTTGGTTGGGTGGTTTGGGTTTTGATTTTGGGGGTCCTCTGCCAAGTCTTAGAAATGCTTGTCTTCCTTTCTCATAGGTCTTAAGAGAGCTCAGTTTACTTAAATTCTTTTCTAGGGAACATACTGTCTGTTGTTAAGATATTAAAGTAATAACTTATGATTTATCAAGGGGTCACAAGGGTGAGAGGGGGTTACAAAGAGGAGCTGACACCAAGGGCTCAAATAGAATGTAAATGTTTAGAAAGTTATGATGGCAACTTATGTACAAATGTGCTTGATACAGTTGATATGTGCGTTGTTAAAAGAGCTGTAAGAGCCCCTAGTGAAATAATCTTTAAAACAAAACAAAAAAAGAATGCAGTGATTTTCCTGATAATGTTTCCTAACTGGTCGCTGCTCGTGTGTGTGAACACTTAACTTTCAGGCATGTCTGGAGAGCACTGCCAGTGTCCCCGAGGCCTCCCAAGGGCGCTGGGCAGTGACCCTGCAGCAAAGTCCTGAATTTACCTACTGAAGACCTGTTTGGGCACTGAGAGTTACCCACAAACTCACTGCCATCGAGGGGGAGGGGGTTTAGAGACTATAACTCTTGATGGGAATAGAAAGCTTCCTTTTACTCCCATGGAGCAACTGGTGGTTTTGAACTGCCGACCTTCAGGTAGCAGCCCAATGCTTAACCACTACCAGGCTCCTTCACCTGCCCAAGACAGTAAAATAGACGGGAAATCAGAATGCCGAGGATGAAGGGAGGCTGCACACCTTTGCATCTGCAGCACTGACACCCACCCACTACCATCCAGTCAGTTCCGATTCAGTGATGGGCACAGAGGGACACTCAATGCCGGGCATGCATCACTGATGGCTCCCACAAGGTCCACGTGAAGAGCCGGTCAGCCAGAGGTCTGCGTCATGGCTGTGCACCAGGGCCACCAGACAGACTTTAAGTGTGTGCTCGCTGAGTTTCAGAGCTTGTTGAAGGTGAGCCCGAACGCGAGCATTTGAAAAAGAAAAACCAAACGCTGCCGTCAATTCAGTGTTACGCACAGTGACCCCTACTGGTTTCCGAGACGGGTTCAGTTTATGGAAGGAGAAAGCCCAGTCTTTCTCTCGAGCAGTTGCTGGTGGTGTCGCACACCTGAGACAGACAGGTGACTGGCCACAAACAGGTAGTGCCCTCCCCAGATGCTCGCTTACCCAAGCCCACCCTCTGTTCCACTGGGGAGGTGGAGGAGGGCACACAGATGGGCGTCGGCCTCAGATGCTGGAGTGGCCCCCTTGGACGGCAGAGGCCATCCTGACCGCTGCTCTGCTCTCCCCAGGGCAGAGCTCAGACAAGTCTCCTCCGACCTCCTGCAACACCTGCCTGGGCCTGTAGAGTAACTTTCCCATGGGACCAGGGCCAGGTTAACCGTGGGGCTCCTGTCGCCAGAGATGACTGCGCAGACCAGGGGCCTTAGGCCTCCGTTCCCCAGGAGTGCCAGGGACAGCACCCTTACGTGGGATGTCAGATTGGATCCTCTCAACCCAACCCTGCAGCCCACAGCTCCCGCTCACCGGCACCGCGTGGAGCCCAGCCCATAGCGCCCCTATCGGACGACAGGGCGAACCACCCAAGTCTTCCCAGTAGACCGCCTCATCTCCTGTGCAGTGGCTGATGGCTTCAAACTGCTGACCTTGGGTGGGCAAGCCCAACATGTAACCTGTCTGCCACCAGGTTCTCTCTCGTCCCTTCCAATTCTCAATTCCGGGACATTCCACTGATGACCCTCACTCCCCTTCTACCCGCTGCCCACCTCAGAGCGGCCAGTGGTCGGAAGGGGGTGAATGGAATCACCTTTTTCTAACTCTGCCACAACCGCAGCTTCCTCCTGACCCGGCCCATTCCTGCATCCTCTGGGCCTGCTCCGCTCCTTGGGGCATTTTCTGTACCGTCTCCTAACTCGCTGGACTGTCTGGTCCCCTCCACCAAGCCAGGGGCTGTTGAAATAGAGCCCGGGACTGAGGCTTGGTGACCCTGGCCCTCCCTTGGCCTCCCACAGAGCTGTGGCCACAAGGGGACTTCTGTGAGTGAGGCATGTACGTGCACTACAAGCCCAGAGAAAAGGCTGACAGGATGATTAGCACCCTTCAACAAGGGACTTGTGTAGTGGGGACATGACCGGACCTCAGGTCCAGCTACCGCACTGCAGCCCCTCGGTGGGGCTGGCAGTGCTGGCTCTTGTCGGCTCTCCCCGCCCACCTGAGCACGCAGACACCAGGGCAGGAGACAAAGGACCAAGGGGGCGGGAAGAAGGTACTGGTTTATTCCCTGGGGAGAGATGGGGATGGTGGTGAGAGAGTTCCATGTGCTCCGGCCGCAGGGCAGGTCCAAGTGTGACTCCCGCTCTCCCTCAGAGCTTCTCCAGGTAGGACCCAGGGACAAAGCCACGCTGCCCGTGCAGCTCCACCGTCCACCAGCCGTCCTCCCCTTCCAGGATGACCCCCAGGATGTCCCCTGCAGTGATGTCCAGCTCATCGGGATTCTGGCAACAGATTTCAAGCATACCAGGTTGGGGTGGGGGGGGCACACGGGGCGGGGCTGGGCAGACCCTTAGGTAAGGGGGGGCATGCCCCATGGGACTTGGCTTCCAGCTGCACCAGTTTGTTACTGGAGACCACCCACAGGCGGGGTGGCTTCCCTGCTTTACCTGCTGGCGCTTCCTCTCCCCATGCTAGACTCCAGGCACCCAGTGATCAAAGCCAGCCAGGGGGCTGAG